GTTGCTGTGATTGGCTTTAGGTTTACTCTTTGTTTCCTATTCCCTATTCCTCTTTTTGATCTTTGTCCTTTCCTTCTAGTGGATTAATAGAATATTTCTAAGACTCCCACTTTAATTTATTCACTAGCCTTTTAGGCATATATCTTTTCATTCTTTTAGTGGTTATTCGAAGACTCTGGCTCTCAAGCTTTAGTGTGTAACAGAATTACTTGGCGGGCTTGTTAAAACAATGAGTTTTGGTCTCTGTCACCTGAATTTTCAGTTCGCCAAGTCTATTGTTGGTCTGAACATCTGGTCTTCCCAGCAAATCCCAGTGATGTTGGTGCTGCTTTTTGGGAACTATTCCTTGAAAAGGAACGCTCTAAGGATTAAAGGTACATTCTTAATTTTCACAGTCTACTTAGAGTGAACATGAGACCACTTCATATAAAATACGTAAAATTTCCAATTATATAGGGTAAAATTTTTTATTTTAAAAAATTTAATTTAAAATTAAAATTTATGCTGTATTCAAGCATATGTATTTTAAAGAAATTAAAAGAAAGTCTTTTGTGTTTACCCGCATATTTACCTTTAACTATGCTTATTTCTTCCTGAAGATCCTATTTCCATTCTGCTTCATTTCCCTTCAACTTAAATAACTTCCTTTACCATTTCTTGAAGTATGGGTTTAGTAACAACAAATTCCTTTAGGTGTTTTATCTCAAAATGTATCTTTTATTATCAGTCTGGAAGTTTTGTGCTGGGGATAGAATTTCAAGTTGACAGTTTGTCTTTCTTTTCCTTTTAGCACATTAAAAATGTTCAGCAGTCCACTGGCCTCCATTTCTCTTAGAAGTTATCTCACTGAAGTTCCTATTGCCTATACACAGTGTGTCCTTTTTCTCTGGCTGTTTTCAAGACTTTTCTCTTTATTTTTGATTTTTCAATAGCCAGACTGTGATTTTCCTAGTTATTTTCTTTATTAAAAAAAGACTAGCTTGAGATTTGTTGACCTTTTGAATCTAAATGTGTGCCTTTCACCAAATTTGGGAAAAAAATTCAGCCATTATATCTCTAAATATTTTCTGTCTTATTTTAGACTCTGCGCACATATGTTAATAAGACTTTCTGGTATTGATTCACCTTGATACTTTTCATTGTTTTTCAAATCTTCTTTTCTTCAAATTGGGTAATTTCTTTTGATCTCTCTCCAGACTGTTACTCTTATGTCTATTCTGCTATTGTCTTTACTGGGGACTTTGTAGCTCAGTTGTTGTGTTTTGCAGTTTTATTATTTCGCCTTATTTCTCTGTTGTTATTTCCTATCTTTTCACTTATTTTAAGCATATTTTCTTTTGTTAATTAAATAATTATATAACTTGAAACTCTTTGTGTCTTAATACTAACAACTGGGTCGTCCCTGGTTGGTCTTCTTGAATCTCTTTTTGTATTGGAAGTAGGTTATATTTTTCTGTTGCTCACTTGTCAAATACTTTTTGATAATATCCTGAGCATTGTAAATGATATATTACTGAAATTCTGGATTTTGTTATCTCCTTCAAAGGTATAATTGAGATTTTTAAAGCAAGCAGCAAATTTGTCCAGCAATCTCCATGTCCACTTTGGTGGGCGGTAACTCAAAGCTCAGTCCAGCTGTTTTCATTTTAGCTGGGCTTCCTGAGGCTGAGCATGGGTGCTCCAGTCTCCCCAAGATTGGAGCAGAGTTGATCCTCAGATCTGAGGCTTCCCTCTCTAGCTTTCCTTGTCTTCTGAAATTATCTACCTACTTTCCAGTGGCTGTTGTTGCCCAAACCCTGTCTTCTGGTTCTTTAAACTTGCTAATTTGGTGGGTTTTCAATTAGAGATTTAGTGGGGACAGTGATTTCCCCCTCAGTCTAAATACCACAAAAACAGGCAACTCACTCAGTGACCCTAGTTAGTTGTGTTTTCATGTTTTTTCTAGAGTTTATAGAAGGTTATCCCAATAGGAGCTACTCAGCCATAACAGACGAACTCCCTGTCTCTCTCTCTCTTTTGTATTTATTTTTTTTGCTTTTTTCATTTAAAAGGGCTCCCCCTAGCATGAAAGGTAAATGTCACCTATATGATTTTCTAATCAATCACCTTTATTTTTTACACTGACCTCAAATTCATTTTGGATTACTGTTTATATAATGCATGAATTAAGTATGAACTTTTTTTCTTAAATCATTCAGCCAACATCAAATAATTCCTTTTCCCCCTAACTTTAATTATCCCACTGCAATTCGCCAGTGTTTTCAAATTGTGCTCTGAGGAGCTTTGGCATTCCTTAGACTTGAGTTAAGCAGAGCTGTAATTGTATGTGTACTTGGTTGTTTCTTTTATTAATTTTGTAATTCCGTGAAAATATTTGTTAAACATCTACTACCTGTCAGACATTATGCTAGTAGGCACTGGGGCCACAGGGCGCTGGACTGATCGCGGTCCTTGCCTCAGGAAGTCGCACTGTCCAGTGAATTTTGCGTATCAGGCTTCTGTATACCCATTCCTTTTTCTTGTCAGAGCTTTAGGGATGACAGATTTGGAGACCCACTAACTTTGTAATTTTAGGCAAGTTATTTATTCTTGCTAAACTGCAATATATTCTCACCTTTCTAGTGGGATAGTAGTCCCTGTTTGAGAGTATTGCTTTAAGGATTATGAAATGGAATAATTTCATATGAAAGAGTTCAGCTCTCAGTAAATATTGATTTCTTCCTTCTTAACTAGTGGCCATATTTTTCCTGTTGATAGAAGATTTGGAATTTTGGTTAAAACTCCCATATCCAACATCATCTGATTCTTCGGTATAGATTTCTCCCTGGTAATCTAACTTTCCTAACACTCTGTCGATGCAGCTTTCTCAAGGGTCTCTAATCTCAGCATTCCATCACCTTACACCAAAGGCATCCTCTCGATTCCCAGGGCCCTTGTTCTCCTTGAATTCCTGACTGTCTCTGTATTCTAGGGGAAAACCTTGGTTTGAGATTACGATGCCACTGTAATATTTTTCTTCCTTATTGTCCTGCACAACTCCTTCTACATATCTTTATTCATTTTCATTCTTTGATTCCCAAATCTTAGATATTTTCTCAAAGCTCATTCCCCCCAGTTCTTTTTTGCTTTGGCTCTTCTTTTTGTCGAATAAGTAGGACGCCTGTTCTCGTCACTTCCGCTCAGATCTCTGCATCCCTCACTGTCTCTCTATTGGAATATAGCCGCGTGTCACCTATTTTGTATGGGGCATCTGTTCCCTCACCGGGCACTTTTCCAGGCGTCGGATGTGCTGTCTTCTTAAACGCGATCAGTGCTCCGCTCTGAAATTCTGTCTTTGTGTCCAAATAATTCAGTCGTCTTCTTCCTTAATAAATCTGGTTTTCTTCTCAAAGGTGCTCGGTCTGCTAGCTGCTTGGACTCAAACCTTTACTCCTTCATCTGCACCCGGCACGTCCAGTTGACCCGTCACTTCCACGCGGAAGCGTCTCCTCTCGCTCCTTCCTTCCTTTCTCTGCTGCTGCCGCCCAAGCCCAGCGCGTGGCCGGTCTGGGGAGGCTTTGCGCCCTTCCTGCGCCCTGTTCCTTTCCTCAGCCCAGCTCACCGTCGTTATTACGTTCGTGACCCACTGCCTTTGTCCGGTATCCCGCTCAGCGTTTTCAGTGACTCTCCGCTTCTTTGGCATTGTTCATTCTAATGGACTTCCAGGCTTGACATCAGTTATTTTACTTCTAATGCATATGTATGTGTTAAATTGCCCAAATATAAAGCTAAATATAAATGTTTTCACATACAACCGTGTAACTACAATTTACAAATTTATTACAGAAAAACTACAAAATGGATAAAATTTAACTTAACAACATTAATATTTCAAAGGATGTTTGCCAAGCCTAAATCCCCAAGCTCAGTATGAATATTGTTCAGCGTGGTCTGAGTTTGGCACGCACCTGTGCTGTTCTTCAAAATTCTGAGAAACCTTTGTTTCTACAGCATGTTAGGATATCATTTGGCCTTCATTGGTACAAAGGTATCATTTGAGAAATAGATCTCTCATTGTCTTTTTTTTTTTTTTCACCCCTCAGCCTACTACAATTACAATAGCGCTACTTGGCTGCAGTAAAATAGAAAATAAAAAAGCACATTCAGACACTAATAGTGCTTGGTGATTCGGGGCTACTAGATAAGCGTCCCGATGGGCTGTGTGTGTGTCTGTCTCTGTGTGTTGAGAGAGAGCAGGGCAGGGGGAGGAGGGGACAGGGTGAGAGGGACAGAATTTTAGTTGACTTGAAAAAAAGAAACTTAGAGGATTTTTATAGAAAACTGATGAATCTCAAGGTCAGGCAGAGGCCCCCAGAGTCTATAGGCCCCATTTTAAAAATCAGTGATCTGTGGGATAAAGACCAAATTACTCATACTGACATCCTTCAACTTGGATTAAATCTTTTTCTTTTCAACCTTTTTTTTCCCTTTTCTGACTTCATCCTGCTGTGTGAGCATGTTCACATCTTCCCAGATTTGTGCCTTCTCTCCTTTTATGCCTTTGTCCCTGTATAATCGCAACTATGTATGTAGCCTTTAAGGACCAATTCATGTTATCATTTCCCCCTGAAGCTTCTGCCCACCTCTTCAGTAACAATTGGATTCTCTCCTTTGAATGCTTCCTTTTTATCCAGTGTAGTTTCGGCATTCCATTTTTTTGTAATGTTTGTTTTGTTTAGTTTTCATGTTCTCAACATCGCTAGACTTCGGAGCCTTGAAGGCAGATAGTATTTTAGTGTTTTGCATAACTTTCAGGATCACTGCTGATAAGCCTGAGTGAATCAGAGGATTACTCTGAGATGTGATGCTCAGGGTTAGCGATTTAGTTCCCCTTGCAGAAATGTGTGACTTCTTCATATACAGTGTAAGCAAAGTACTTTAATATAGAAAAAATGCATTTCTTAGAAACCAAAATGCCTTAGACATTTTGTATTCTTACCCCATTTATTTCGTATTTTCAGGACTGCTGGGAAAGATCCTGATGGCTATCCGAGATGCAGGTTTTGAAATCTCAGCTATGCAGATGGTAGGTAGCTTGCAGTGCATTATGACCTATCGAGAAATGTTTTTTTGACATAAGCTTGGAAATGTTCTGCATTGTATTATTTCTGTGTACTGATGAACTTAATGCTTTAAAAATAAAATGATAGAGTTACTGAACTTGATAACCTTATAGTCAAGAACTGCTATTGAAATGATTTTACTCACATAATCTTTCACTGAGAGAACTAATATTCAAACGGAGCGCGGGCACCATCACTGTGGGGATCAGATAAGCAATTTTGGGTTTGTGGTGTTGGAAGACTATTAGGTTTATGCTGTTTTGATAGCAAAATAACTATTTGTAGAGCTATTTTTCATATTTAATTTATGTGTTTTTTTCTCTGAAAAGGAAATGCTTTTGATTTCTGTGAAGCCTTAGGATCACCCAAAGTAGGGGTGAGGACACTAGCTGGGGCTCTGCTAGCTCTGCGTCCCTTATTGTGGGGAATGCCCATAAAACCAAGAAAAGGTCAGAAACAGCAACTGGTTTGCAAAATCATGAGGCAAAACAAAGACTAATGAGAAAGGTAATATTTGAAAAATCTTACCTAGGACAATAAAGAAATGTTAGCCAAAACGTTCTCAAAGTATTAGCGTGGGGATGTATTCACAGGATTGTAGAACCTAAGCTTGTTCATTCTAATGGACTTCCAGGCTTGACATCAGTTATTTTACTTCTAATGCATATGTATGTGTTAAATTGCCCAAATATAAAGCTAAATATAAATGTTTTCACATACAACCGTGTAACTACAATTTACAAATTTATTACAGAAAAACTACAAAATGGATAAAATTTAACTTAACAACATTAATATTTCAAAGGATGTTTGCCAAGCCTAAATCCCCAAGCTCAGTATGAATATTGTTCAGCGTGGTCTGAGTTTGGCACGCACCTGTGCTGTTCTTCAAAATTCTGAGAAACCTTTGTTTCTACAGCATGTTAGGATATCATTTGGCCTTCATTGGTACAAATGTATCATTTGAGAAATAGATCTCTCATTGTCTTTTTTTTTTTTTTCACCCCTCAGCCTACTACAATTACAATAGCGCTACTTGGCTGCAGTAAAATAGAAAATAAAAAAGCACATTCAGACACTAATAGTGCTTGGTGATTCGGGGCTACTAGATAAGCGTCCCGATGGGCTGTGTGTGTGTCTGTCTCTGTGTGTTGAGAGAGAGCAGGGCAGGGGGAGGAGGGGACAGGGTGAGAGGGACAGAATTTTAGTTGACTTGAAAAAAAGAAACTTAGAGGATTTTTATAGAAAACTGATGAATCTCAAGGTCAGGCAGAGGCCCCCAGAGTCTATAGGCCCCATTTTAAAAATCAGTGATCTGTGGGATAAAGACCAAATTACTCATACTGACATCCTTCAACTTGGATTAAATCTTTTTCTTTTCAACCTTTTTTTTCCCTTTTCTGACTTCATCCTGCTGTGTGAGCATGTTCACATCTTCCCAGATTTGTGCCTTCTCTCCTTTTATGCCTTTGTCCCTGTATAATCGCAACTATGTATGTAGCCTTTAAGGACCAATTCATGTTATCATTTCCCCCTGAAGCTTCTGCCCACCTCTTCAGTAACAATTGGATTCTCTCCTTTGAATGCTTCCTTTTTATCCAGTGTAGTTTCGGCATTCCATTTTTTTGTAATGTTTGTTTTGTTTAGTTTTCATGTTCTCAACATCGCTAGACTTCGGAGCCTTGAAGGCAGATAGTATTTTAGTGTTTTGCATAACTTTCAGGATCACTGCTGATAAGCCTGAGTGAATCAGAGGATTACTCTGAGATGTGATGCTCAGGGTTAGCGATTTAGTTCCCCTTGCAGAAATGTGTGACTTCTTCATATACAGTGTAAGCAAAGTACTTTAATATAGAAAAAATGCATTTCTTAGAAACCAAAATGCCTTAGACATTTTGTATTCTTACCCCATTTATTTCGTATTTTCAGGACTGCTGGGAAAGATCCTGATGGCTATCCGAGATGCAGGTTTTGAAATCTCAGCTATGCAGATGGTAGGTAGCTTGCAGTGCATTATGACCTATCGAGAAATGTTTTTTTGACATAAGCTTGGAAATGTTCTGCATTGTATTATTTCTGTGTACTGATGAACTTAATGCTTTAAAAATAAAATGATAGAGTTACTGAACTTGATAACCTTATAGTCAAGAACTGCTATTGAAATGATTTTACTCACATAATCTTTCACTGAGAGAACTAATATTCAAATGGAGCGCGGGCACCATCACTGTGGGGATCAGATAAGCAATTTTGGGTTTGTGGTGTTGGAAGACTATTAGGTTTATGCTGTTTTGATAGCAAAATAACTATTTGTAGAGCTATTTTTCATATTTAATTTATGTGTTTTTTTCTCTGAAAAGGAAATGCTTTTGATTTCTGTGAAGCCTTAGGATCACCCAAAGTAGGGGTGAGGACACTAGCTGGGGCTCTGCTAGCTCTGCGTCCCTTATTGTGGGGAATGCCCATAAAACCAAGAAAAGGTCAGAAACAGCAACTGGTTTGCAAAATCATGAGGCAAAACAAAGACTAATGAGAAAGGTAATATTTGAAAAATCTTACCTAGGACAATAAAGAAATGTTAGCCAAAACGTTCTCAAAGTATTAGCGTGGGGATGTATTCACAGGATTGTAGAACCTAAGCCTGCCTAAAAATTTTTATTCTTTTAGAAATTTTAGATTTAAACTGATCTGACTTACAGGCCTGCAGCCTAGTATAATAATTGGCCATAGGAGCTGCTCAGTGAAAATAAGAAAAAATTTAAAAAGGAGTAACTGAGCATATGAGGAGGCGTGGTAGTTCAGGAGCAATCATGGACATTGATTTTTGGAGTCAGAAAGCTCTGTTTCTAAATCATGAGTCATCTGCTTCCGAGGTACGTGACCTTGGCTAATTTTAAGCGTCTTTTTCGTAGTTTTCTCAGCTTGGCAATGAGAACATTTAATATTTGCTTCAGTGGATCATCTTATGGATTAAATGAAATCAACCCTGCACAGTGCACTATAGAATTTCCAGTGCAAATTACTAAGTACTTAATTGTATCTTCTGTTACTATGTTGTTGTATTAAAAATACAAGTTGTGTGAATTTAGGATAAAACCCTGAAATCAAATGAAAATTCCTTCCCTGTAATAGTTATGTAGCCTATGAAAATGAATCCTCCCACTATGAGTGACTGACTGGACGGGGAGAAATTCCTCAGTGATATTCAGTCCTGGCAATGATCAACAAAGTGGTGGGGAAAAATTGGACATTCTGAGCTTATTTTTTTAAATTTTAATGTCTTCTTAAGACCCTAAAACTTAATGAAATTTTATTTCTAACTAAATTGAATCCAGCCTGAGTAAGAATGACTCTGTAGAGAGGCTTTGTATTTTTGAAGAGTAGTAGGATCTCCAGGTAACTTGTGTAAGTGTTTTATTATGAACCAGATAGACAAGCATTTTTCTGAGTGTTTGAGAGAAAAAGGAGTGTTATTTACAGTCCCTTCTTCAGAATCTGAAGTATTTTTCTCTAGTAATATTTCTTTCTTGCACCACTAGCCTGTCAGTAAACTCTCTTCCGTTGTGTATAAGCCTCTTGTGAATGGAGAATGAGGTTTTATTCAGAGACAGGTAGGGTGCAGTGGTCAGAAGCATGATCAGTGGGACCAGCGTGCCTGGCAGGGGGCTGCCCGTCTGTAAAGGTCACGTAACCCCTCTGCGTCATCTGTGGGCGAGGCCGAAGCCTGTCCCAGGGCTGCTGTGAGGGTTCGGCAGATGGCGCCTGTGCGAGAGCCAGCGGTGCTCAAAACGGGCTGCGCGGGTTGTTACTGATGACCTGGTCTTTAATAGCACCTTTTTTAGGGGGTATTCAGTTATAAGGTTCACACTTCAAAGGACGTATATCCAAGAGAACGTATGTGTTGGGTGCTAAGCGTGGTTCACTTTATTCCTTCTGTTGGCCGGCTCATGGTTTTTGTGTTGTGTGTGTTTTCTTACATGCAGTTCAACATGGATCGGGTTAATGTGGAGGAGTTTTACGAAGTGTATAAAGGAGTCGTGTCTGAGTATAATGTAAGTATGGAAGTAACTGTAACATGTTGAGAGTAGTTAATAAATATCAGCTATGTTGTTATCTGTACTACTCCTGTTCTGTCAGATGTAATTCTTTGTAGGTCATTTATATTTACATACCCTGCTTGCACATCTGTGGTTGTAAAAAGATGATGATCCCCATCTCCTTGTGTTACCATGATCTACTTTTTCTCCAAATACATTGAGTATCTACTATGTGCCGAACAGTGTATCAGAGACCAGGGGCACGGAGACGGGACACGCACCGCCTCCGCTCCTGGGGCCCCTGTCCTGGCGAGGACGAGCATGTGATCGACGGCCCCCTGCCCCTGCCCCAGGACAGTGGTCATACAAAGGAAACAGAGTCCATTTCTGTTTTGACAACATTTTACTTAACTAAAAACTAAAAACCTAGGTGACCTGAGAATTCTGATGAGTCCATTTTTTTAGGGAACATGTGTATGCTTTGAAAGAGTCCTTTCTCAACATTTTTTCCTTTATATTTTGTGCATCCCTTTATGTCTGTATTCTTAATGGAATTTCTCACACTGAAAGAGAGAGACAAGCACAAGAAAGGCAGACAAACCCAGTCCTCTCCTTCTGGATGACACGGTGCGCCCTGTTCTTCCCCTGCAGAGAACTTGCTCCTGACATTTGTGTGTGGGCAGTACTTCATGGGATAGAAAATCAGACTCAACATGATCATCCATAGAAAGTCAATTGCAAATGGCCTTTGTGAAATAGCAAAGTGGCTTGAGGGGGTGCGTCCAGGGGTCCAGTGAGCAGGGCTCTGTGAACCGCATTAGTCATGAAGTCCGGTGCTGCCTGCCTGACTTCTGGCATCTTGGTCAGGTGTGATGACTGAGGTCAGCATTTGGGTGTCGCTCTGCCGGAAAGGGCCTTTCCTTTGCTGTGGCGTCACGCATCATGACCCCTCCGCGGCCACTAACATGGCTGTGCTGCCCCCGTGACCCGGCCTTGTCTCTCGCTGCTTTCCCACAGCTTCGGCGCCTGGCGCCCCGGCTCCTTCACGGATCTCCGCGGCCGCCACCCGCGCTCGGCCGTGGTCCTCGTGCATTTTCCCCTCCGCCTCGTGTGTTCCCCCCGTGCAGGGGGGAGAGCATTCACCGCACGTTCCAGGCACCGTGGCAGCCTCTTCGTGATCGTGCTGTTCATTCTGCCGCTTCAGGTGTGGGGTCGGCAACCGGAACCAGCAAATTCATTCCCCGCTGTTCCGTGGCTGCTGCTGCTGTACTTTTCCTTCTGTGTACGTTGTAAACCCTGCCGCACAGTGTTCTTTTTTTAGGAGATGAGGGTGCACATGATAACATGCACAAACCCTAGTGTGCAGCTTGGTGCATTGCGGCGTGTGCGCCCTCACGGAGCCCCCGCCCAGGTCCGGGCGCCGCTTCCTCACTCATCTTCCCTTCGCCTCTTTCCCAGGCCCCAGCGCCCTTCCCTGCAGCAACCACCCGTCTGTTCTCTGTGTCTGAGTCTGTTTCTGGTAAACTTTACATTTTAAATGTTTTTGTTTTGAATAATCAATTACATCTCACAGCAACTAAAAAGAACCAGTGTATTTCATATTCACCCACATATTTGCCATTATTTCATGTAGGTCTGTGGTTCTGTCTGGTATTATGTTCCTTCTGCCTGCAGAACTCCCGTTAGCATTTCTTATGGGGCAGGGTGGTCTCCTCCACATATGCACAGACTTTTAGCCAAAGACTCAGGCAGGTGTCTCCCAGGTCCCTGCAGCCCCTGTACTTTCTCTCCTGTCGCCCCACTAGCACCCCTCCTCCCGGCCCCAGCTGCACCACCTCCTGGGCTCCAGTCTCTCTCTCATTTGCTCTGTGAGAATGTCAGTTTCCGCTGTGATTCCCTGTCTGTCCCGCTGCCTGAAAAGCACCTCCAGGCTGTAAGATGGGCACTCACAGGGCTTCCCCCCCATGTCCTGTCTCAGGACTCAGAGGCTGTGCCCTCTGTCACCCTGTCCCTGAAAACTGTTTCCTACGTATTGTCTAGTCCCTAGATGTTTAGTGTACGAGCATAAACCTGGTCCCTGTTATTCTTCATTTCTGGAAGTCTCTGGTTTTTAAAAGCATCTTTGGGAGAAACACTGTGGAACTTCTGTCTTTAGATATGTCCGTCTGACAGGGCTGTGTTCAGGAGAGAGCCCTCCGGGAGGAAGATGCCCCAAAAAGCCATTTCAGGCTGCAAGTGCCAGGGGGCAAGCTGCGCACAGAGCAGGAAGAAGGGGCAGGAGAGGAGAGGAGGGGACGTGTCTGAAGTGTATGTTTTCAGGAGAAATGGACAAAATTTGGGAGCCGGTGGGCATGTGGGGTCCTGGTGGGGAACAGTCAAAGGTGACTTTACCATTTTGAGGTTAGTGGAATAGTGGTGCAGTTAAAAGAGGAGGAGTAAAGTATCACTAAATTCTATTAATTTGTAACTATTTTTTATATTACATGTGTAGGAGATGGTGACAGAAATGTACTCCGGCCCTTGCATAGCAATGGAGATTCAACAAAATAATTGTACTAAGACGTTTCGAGAATTCTGTGGACCTGCTGATCCCGTGAGTTATTGCTTAAAATATTAACTAAGTAGGTTTTATTCATAATCTTAATAGATTTGATAGTTTTAGTTCTTTAAAAGGCAAGATACAGAAGTGACAATAATAGACAAAGATTTGTATTCAAAATAGCATTTTACATAATTTATTTTTATGTACTATTCCAAAAAATAAATTTTTTTATTAGCTTAGTGACAATATAGAATGGACAAATATATACTGTGACATTTTCTTTTGTGGTTTCTTCCTGCTGAATTGTCTAGGTAAGTAAACTCCTCAGCTCTGTGACAGAAATTATCTCAAGAACAAATCACCCTTTGACATGGGGAGGCTGTAAACAGTCTCAGCGTGAAGAATATTGATGCGATGGTGCCGCACCAGATGCGTAGCTGAGTGTGAACACTGGGGCGTGTGTGAGACTCGCTCGCCTCTGGCACTTCTCAGTTCGCTTCAGGTTTTCTTCCTGTGGACTTTTGGTGGCAATGGGGGCAGAGGAGGAGGTGGGGTTGAAAAGCAGAAGTAGAAATTAGGAAGGGGTAGATTTTGGCTACACGAATAAGCAGATCTCGGTGTTTGCCATTTTCATTCGACTTCTGTTTGATGGCCAAGAAGGGTTTTCATTTGTTTTTTAAAAGTAACTGAGTGATGAGCTGACTGAAGAAACAGGGTAACTGGATAAAAACCGGAGTTTGTTCACTCTTTCACTCACTCAGTAAGTATGTGTTGAACCTGTGACAGCATTCGTATGCTTCCCACGTGTGATCTGAAACCGGTCCCAGGTTGGGGAGCACGGGGGGAGACCAAAGGAAGAGGCGGCCACTCTGGATGGCCAGGTGGCTGAGGGCTCACACGAGGCTTGTCTTGGCGGCCTCGAGATGAGTGGATCCCTGTGCCCACCACCACATCTTAGAAGTTTATGCAGAGACCTAACCTGGGTCCAGTCATGTGCACCAGCCAGGGGTCTCAGCTCAAGACTGTGTCCTTGGGGGCAGCCTCTGGGTGTGGGAAGCCAAGCAGAACCCACATTCCAAGGACAGGGAGAAGGCGTGGACCCTCCTATTGCCAGGGCCCACCTCACGGGCCAACCAGGGGCTTGTCTTCTCGAGGATGTCCTCAACTTGAATACGAAGATAGAAGCCTCAAAGAGCTTATGGTCTGCAAGCCGACAAAGTATGTGTGGCTCATTTCCATGTCATGCAGCAATTGCATTGTGGGAGGTTTGCACTGGGTGCCATGGGCTCCAGAATCTGAGCATTTAGCTTGGCCTGGAGACGTTCATAGGGTCAAGGGAAATTTACTGAAGAGCATTACATCTTAGCTAAGTGAAGGTGGAGTGTGAGATGATTAAAGTCACGGATGCACGGAACAGCATCCTTTCGGGCTTTGGCGGCTCTGCCTGTGGCTGAGTACCGGCTGGTGAGTGGGAGAAGGGAGGCCGCCGGGGAGGGCGTGCGGGTGAGCAGGTGAGCAGTCGCAGAGGGGGTGATGACAGGCATACTTCCGGCCCTGCGCCAGGGCTCCGCTCCATGTGTGTTCACAGAGGGTGCTGTGCACAAGGACCACTGCCTGGCTGCCCGCTGCATGGTGGTGAGATGACTGAAGCAGGCATAGTCCCTGAGAGCTTCATTTCCAAGCTCTCTCAGAGCCCCAAGTCTGTCTCATGCCCACAGCTGGGATCACCCAACCATAGCTGCTTACTTGAACTGTTTATGAGCCCTTGTGGCAAAGAAAGTTCTACCACAGAGACTTTAAGACTCAGTACTAATTCAAGGTGTCAGTGTTACCAGTAGCTGTCTGTGGTGGGATTATGATGCCAAAACCTATGATGATTCCTATATTCTACAAATTTTTTTTAAGTTGCAGCCATTAGCAGGCCAGGCGAGGGGCAGTGGTTCCAGGGTGCAGCCATAAGCAGGCCAGGGGAGGGGCAGCAGGTGCCAGGATGCAGCCATAAGCAGGCCAGGTGAGGGACAGGGGGCACCAGGGTGCAGCCATAAGCAAGCAGGCCAGGGGAGGGGCAGCAGGTGCCAGGATGCAGCCATAAGCAGGCCAGGCGAGGGACAGGGGGCGCCAGGGTGCAGCCATAAGCAAGCAGGCCAGGGGAGGGGCAGCAGGTGCCAGGGGGCAGTGTGCCTGGTGGCTGGAAGAAGCAAGGAGCTTGGGGTGGTGAGAGCAGAGCGATCACAGGGAGAGGGGCAAAGGCGAGATCAGGCCCCGTTGTAGATGTGGGAAGGAGGCCGTGGAGCCTCGTCTGCCCTGACGTGACTTGGCCTCTCCTCCAGGTGGAGGCCATGGGGGGGCCGGGATCGGGCGTGCTCTAACAGTAGCTCTGCAGCCTCTCTCCGGAGAATTTTGTGGACGTTACGAGCACTGTTACTGTCATGGGTGTGGCAGATACTGTGGCTCTCGCTGTCCAACGGTGTTCTACACCCACAGTATGATGCAGGCCAAGGTTTAAGGGGCGCACTAGCATTTTTTTTGAGAAATAACAGAAATAATACACATTAGCTTTTAAGTATTTAGCTTTAGCCATTTTGAAGTATTATTTGTCACATTTTACATAATCAAAACAAAGAACAATGAAAGAACAACTTCTCTGTCTTATCATTAACCTAGATAGGCTGCCTGGTAAATTCTTAGAGAGCGTTGGGGGAGGATAGAAAGACAATCTTAATTAAGTTTGTAAAAACTGAGTATTATATATATTTGATTTTTTAAATAGCACTGTTGAGATATAATTAATGTGTCAGTACAATTCACCCATTTTTAAATGTACAGTCCAGGGTTTTCAATATTGTCACATATATCTATAACAATTACTACAGTCTATTTTAGAATATTTAGAACATCACCTAAAAAATAAAGTCCATACCCTTTACTTTACCTTCTGACCCCTCAGCCCAAGAGAATTGAAAGCATCAGCCCCACGAAAGCCCGCACACAGTGTCTATACAGCACGATCCATAATAGCCAAAAGAGCAGCCACTAACCTGCTCTTTCTATAAATTTCACTGTCCTGGATATTGCCTGTGAATGGGATCATACATGTGGTCCTGTGTGCCTGTGAATGGGATCATACATGTGGTCCTGTGTGCCTGTGAATGGGATCATACACGTGGTCCTGGGTGATTGGCTTCTTCCCTGTTGCACGTTTTCAAGGCTTAACCATGTACCATCTATTCAGTGCTTCCTTTTCATGACTGAATAATATCCCGTTGTGGGATAGACCACATTTTGTGTATTCATTTGTTACTTGAGGGATTTTTGGGTTTTCCCTTCTTTTGGCTATTATGAATCATGCTGCTATAAACATTGTGTACAAGTTTTTGTGGGGCTGTATGTTTTCAATTCTCTTGGGTATTTTTGCCTTAGAAGTAGTATTGCTGGGTCATATAGTAACTTTATGTCTAATCCTCTTAAGATGAGTCCGACTGTTTTCCCAGTGCGGCGGCACCATTTCAGATCTCCACTGCATGTCCTCACCAGTGCTTGTTCTTACCTGACTTTTTGATACTGGCCATCCCAGTGGTTTTGGTTTATATTTCCCTGGTGACTAATGATGTCAAACAGCTTTTCATGTGCTTATTGGCCATTTATTTATCTTCCTTGGGGAAGGAAGATAATAATCTTCTGCCTATTTTTTATTTGGATCATCTGTCTTTTATTGAGTTGTAACTGTCCTTTATATAGTCTAGAAGTAAGTGCCTTATTAAGCACATGATTTGCAAATATTTTCTCCCATTTTGTGAGTTGTCTTTTCACTTTGTTGGTGTCCTTTGAAGCACAAAAGTTTCTAATTTTGATGAAGTCTATTTTTTCTTTTGTGGCTTGTGCTTTTGATGCTGTATTTAGAATCCTTTGCCAAATCCAAGGTCTTGAAGGTTCAGCTCCTATGTTGTCTTCTAAAAGTTTTATAGGTTTAGTTTTTACTTTTAGGTCTTTGTTTCTAGTTAATTTTGTGTATGGTGTGAGGTAGGGATCAGGCCTCACTCCCGCATGTGGCCCTCCGGCTGTCCTAGCATCACGGATGAAGACATCGTCTCCCCGTTGGGTCGGCTCCCTTGTTGGAGACCAGGTGACAGCAGACGTCGGGTTTATTTCTGAGCTCTCAGTTCTGTTCCACTCATCTGTATGTCTGACCTAGTGTCAGATACACATTTGATTTTGAGGTATTTTCTTGTTTTTGTCTTGTTTTTCTTTTCAAGTATGTTGACATCCACAAAGATATATAAATTTTTTTGTTTTACATTTTCTGAATAATATACAATTTTACAGTTATGATGATAGAGCTAACCAGACATAAACAATAATTCACCCAGAATTACATACTTAAACAGGAATATGAATACAAATTTTAGGCATTACCTAAACCGAGATTTTTTCTAAATGTGAATCACAGTTTTTATTTTGAGAAATAATATACTTTTTAAAGTTCTTTTTCAGTTTATAAAGAGTTAACTATCACCTCAGTTAGCCCTGACAGTAATTGATGAGATGGAGGTACTGTTATTCACTGATATCACTGTCTTCCCATTCTATCTGTGGGGAAACTGAAGCACGAAGTGCGCAGTGGCCTGTCCAGGGCCACTCACCCCGTGCGGCCACGGTCTGCGCTCCTAACCCCTTCTGGTACTCCGGCCCCACCCCCACGTGGCTTCTGTGCTGCTGAGCCAGGAATTGGCATTTTACTGTATCACAGGCTCTTTATAAGCAAGAGGACTTCTCTGGAGATCTTGAACCTCCTCCACTCTAGCAGGTACTTGCCCCACGCGGGTGTGTCCAGTCACCAGTGGGAAACGGCAAAGCCACAGGCCTGAAGACCGAGCATCCTGTGGGGCGCGCCCACCTGCTGGTGGTTCGCTCTTCTGGCCTCTGCGACGCTGCAGAGGACCGTGTGGCACCCCCTCAGCACCCATAAGCAGCTCCCAGCACAGAAGCCAGAGGACACGGGAAGTGTCCTCGTGATCTCCGAAGGTGCGTCTCTGTGCGCAGTTCCTCACGCCCGCCTCCCCGTGTTCAGCCGGCACCAGGTACTTTTCAGCCCAGGCAATGCCAGGCCAAGGACACTGCAGTGGGAAAAAAGATCAAAAGCCCTCACCTCCCAGAGTTTTTGCTGTGATGGAGAAGCGGACAACAGGCGGGTGAGGTGAGGCGGCAGGGCGATGGGGCGCTTCCAGGAGTTCGGCCTCTGAACCCGGCAGCGAGCTCGGCCTCAGCGCGCTGTGAGCGCGGAGAACCAGCCACGCTCTAAATGAGCGCCAGCGATCGGCGAGGCAGATATTGGGAATACTGAGCAATGAATGCCGCGTAGAGTATTTCGAGATTGTTATGGCAGAGGTCCATTTAAGCCTTGGGAGACCAGCAGCAAAGCAGATGCCGTCCGTGGACCTTGCCTGGCCCCCTGCGCGGTTCCAGCCCGGGCCCGAGACGCCCCCTCACCCCGTGGCCGGGAAGGGGTCCGGCCCGCCCTGCCCGCCCTTCGCAGTTGCAACGGCCGATGATCACAATTGCTTCTCCCGCCCTCTTTGGCTTTACTTTTTTCTGTAACAAGTGTTAGCTGCTAGACATACTGTATAATTTATCTGTTGAACGCATTTATTTTTGTGTTCTCTTGCCAAAAATGCCATTAAGGAGTGGATTTTTTATTGTTTTACCGATATATCCAGAGAAACATCTGGTAAATGGGTGCGGGGCGCCTGTTTTCCATAAGCGCGACCGTCGTGCGGGGAGGTGGCAGCAGCACATCCCCTCGGCGCCCCCCGCGGGACCCTCGCTGCGCGGCTTGTCGGGTCTCAGCCCAGGACCCCGATGCCCGTTTGCCCCGAGCTTCAGTTCCCTTCGAGGCAGATTATCCGGGGCTCAGCGTTACAGGTGACGAATGACACTGAGGCCCAGAGAGGCTTTGCTGAAACTTTTTCTAAAAGTATCTTTTAATTTATTTCCCAAAGGACATACTCCTAAATAAAAATTGAAGTCAGGGTTTGAACTCTGTTCTGCCCGGTCCCATCTTGAATGTTTTTATGATTTAAAATCTCAGTGCTATCATTTCTCCAAATTACATATAATACAAGAAACATCTTCTGAATACAAAGGCTGTGATTCTGCCGGGGCGGCCTGGCTTCCCTGGTCCTGTCTGAGGCGAGAGAGCCCGCAGGGGCTTTGGGGGAGTGGCGGGGGGTGGGGGGGTTCCTGTGACTTTCCAGCTCGCCCCGGGACGCGTCGTGACACTGTTGCCCAGGGAACTTTTAGCTTTTTTGAGGACGCTTGTCTGTGTGTCTTCATGATTCAGCACTTTTCCTGACTCTCCCTGTAGTATTTTGAGTTTTTTTCCCCTGGAAGCTTTTTGGCTTTGCTTAGCCCTCTGGCCTGGGCACCGTCAGTTACGGCTGCAGACTGTGCCCGCTCCTCCCTCCCCGGCGCCTATCCCTGCCCCTGCCTCCTCAGGTGCCCCGTGGCCCCACAAGGACTGGGGGAATTGTGGTAAATATCTTCTGTGTTCATAACGGATCTTTCTTTTTCTTTTTGGTGTGTGTGTGTGTGTGTGTAATTTTGGGATTTAACTGGTTTTTATTTCCTCATTCTTTACGTTAGCTTCTTTTGCATCACCATTTTTCAGTACATTTATTGCAATGATTCCACTAAAAGTTATCCCTTTCAGTCCCTTGTTTCCTTCTCATTTATTCCCCTTAATTTTGGGATTTAACTGGTTTTTATTTCCTCATTCTTTACGTTAGCTTCTTTTGCATCACCATTTTTCAGTACATTTATTGCAATGATTCCACTAAAAGTTATCCCTTTCAGTCCCTTGTTTCCTTCTCATTTATTCCCCTTTTTGTTTTTTTAAATTTCCCTCCCCCTTGACCCTCTTACCTCCCTTTGGCTGCATTAACTATTTTCTACCAAGTGATACTGTTGCCTTTGAAATCTCAACATTTTACCTCCTTTTTTTCTTCTTCACAAAGGAGATCACTTGTTCTGAGTACCTTTGGCAGATAACCACGAGTGCTTGCACTCTGGCCCCCAGGAGGTGGCAGCCGTGGGGCCTGGCCTCTCTCCCTCACGCACGTTTGCTGCATGTCCATTTCAAATGTTAGCCCCTAGTGCTATTACTTGAAGACAGTAGGCTTTGCGTTGAGATAGAAGGACAATATTTTTAAACCTTCTTGACACCCTGGGAAATTACCATTTTTGGATATGAAAGAGCCTGCCACCTTACTAGTCTACCAATAGGTAAAAGCTACTGACCCCAGGGCCGGGTCTGAGCCCAGGACCGGTCACAGTTGGCGTGAGCAGTCCTGAGTCACAGTGTCCTCAGGATGTTGTCAGTAAGGCGCTTTATTTTTATCTCAGTGAGACATCTGATCACTTGTAAGGCCAAAGAAAGGGACTCTGGGGGCCTTTAAATGTAACCATGCAAACGAGCGCCACCCTTCCTGTCTTGTGCATTGATGTTTGATTGACAGCACTGGGGAGCAAAAACAGTGGCCATTGCCCCTCCACAGTAAGTCCAGGCACGATCTTTTGGAAAGCACTTAATTAAAGTATAATGGCAATATTAACATTATACTTTAGTACATATAATTAGTACATATAACATTAGTACATATAATTTAGGAATTGACTATTCACATTATCATATAATTCTGTACTTTTCAATTCCTTTCAGTAGTATTTGAAAAAGAGGTGAAGGTTAAATTTAACACATTTAACGTAAGTAGTAAAAAAACATTCATATGGGTAAAAGAGCCCGCCTTCCCTCACAGATGGTTGTGCGTCTCAGAATAAACCAGCGTGACTCGTGAGTCCGCACTCCACTACCTTGGGAAGCTTCGCTGAAGCACTTTGCTGTTTTCAAGTTCAGACTAAATGGTTTCTTTCCTAACTCTACTCATTCCTCAGAGCTCCAGCTATGTGAAATGCAAACTGCTAAAGAGTAAATTTATGCGAAGGCAGGTTGAGCATATGATACTCCCTTTTCAATTCTTTTCCAAGTACTGTCCTGCTCTGTTAAGATACCACTCACTGCATCAGTCGTGAGTGACCTTTGCTTCCCTTTAAACTTCTATACCGTTGACTGTCTGCATCTCCCATTGGCCAGCTGGCATATGCTCCTTGCAGAACTGATCTTTTATGAATATTGCTCACCACCTGGTCTGTAGATACTAAGCCGAGGGCCCATGTTATCCCTTTCTGGTATCCCCAGTCCCAGCAGAGGGCTTTAATGTAGTGCTTCTGATAACTTCACGTGTGTAGGAAGCCCCTGAGTCTTGCTGAATTGCAGATTATGATTTGGTCAGTCTGAGGTGGAACCTGAAATTCCACATTCATGACAAACTCTCAGGGGACATGACACAGCCGATCTACAGACCACTCTTCAGGTCCCAGGTCTCTGGCAGACTTTCTATGGGTGTGATGTTGGTTTCAGAAAAGGACAGAAGATTTAAATTTTGCTAAATGCTTCATTTATCTGCAACATGAAAACAGTATTAAGAAGTGAACATAAATTTAAGTCAATTTCTGAGAATAATTGAAGGTGTGGGATGTCTTTTTTTTTTTTTCCTGATTTCTCTAGTTAATCAAGGAATGGACTTAACTTGTCCATTTTAATAAATACCAGACTGGATGAGATTATATGTGAATACCGTCTATTTCTGGTATCACTAGGTTTAGGCTTAGAAGCAAAAGCCTTTATAACATCTGAGTCATCCACTCTTTTTCTCCCTTTTGTTCCAGACACCTAACTTTGAGGAGCAAATGCAGTTTTCCCCATAAACTCAAATTCTGCGGATATCACATTTCAGGGTTAAGAATTACGCATATACTTACTGTAAATCCTATAAAATCTTTCCTTCCCTTTTTTGATGGGATTCAAAAGTGGGCCATGAAGAACTACCAACAAGCAGTGAATCAGAGGCTCTGATGGCAGCCAGGAAACCCCGCCTCCTTATCGCAGAGGGCACTGTCGATGCCCCTCAGCTCCCCACACACAGCTCCTTCAGGTTAATCTGGGGAGAAATGCATGCTTCCAATTCGATTGCTAGTATTAAAGTATCCACTTTTTTCTGGTATTTTGGTAGAAACAGTTCATTTGCTGCTTTCCTGGGAAGCGTTAAGTGCCAGATGTTATTTGGTGTGAGTCCACCTGGCTGACGCTTTTTATGTCGCCCGTCTCCCCAGCCCCACATCGATGTCAAGCGTCTTTGTGGAATCAGGCAAACTAAAATTGCAGCCACCTCTGTTCTGTAAGTAGAGAAATGAATCATTTTTAATACAACTTTTATTGTTTTCCTTCCAATTATTGAAGTACTTTATGTTTGTTATGCCCACCCCCAACAAACCAAACAAAGGAAAATGTGGAAAAGAACCAAGACCCAGCTATACAAAAATTTTAAAAAACGATTGTTTTTCTACTTCCCCGAAATAAACAGTTAACATTCTGGCCTCAAGCCATTGTCTTTTGCATGAATATTATAGAAATAAAATTAAGATTGTGTGTTATTTACTACTTCATAGCATCCTTACTTAATTAAAGAAATCTGTTGTGGTCTTTTCTGAAGTCACCAAGCCCACTTCATACCATGATCATGAAGATCTGCATGCTGTTCCAGCATGTGGATTAATTAACTCTTCCCCTGCTGCTGATTTATTTTCTAATTTTTATGTCAGGGACATTGAAAAGACCAGATTCACAAATAAATGCACAAGTTTTTTATTATTACCTTAGAAAAAGTCCCTACCAGTGGGATTGCTGATCAGAAGCCAGAAGGTGTTTGTTTGTATGTAATTTGTTTAGTTCTGTCTTTTCTAAAACTACAGTAGTAAATAGACTTTGACTTAATGATTACCTGGTTTCCCTTGTGAAATATTTGAACAGCAAGATGTATGTTGTTCCTGAAGTGCTGTAATGCGCAGAAGGGTCCTGTTCTGTCTGGAGCACGGATTCACCCGAGGGGACCGCCAGCAGGAGGCGCTGCCGCGCAGCCCGGTCTGCCGCCTTCCCGCGCTCAGGCCTAGTTCCATGCCGTCCGGTCACGGACACGGAGCTCGGCGAACCATGCATGAAGTACCTCACACATGAACTTGACCTGAGAATGAAAGGCTGTTAACCAAAGAGTAGCTGGTCTTTAAGTTTTTCTCCCTTTATGAAGATGATTTTATTTGATAAACACCCCATGGATACTCTGAAGTCAAGGCCACCAAAGGGAACCCACGAGATGGAAAGCTGGTCAGTGCTTTGCTGTTAGTCTCGGGAGCACTCGGCTGATGCTCTTGGCAGTCCGTTAATTTGCTGTTCAAAACCAGGGTTTCTAATCATATTTTAAAAGCAAAATAAAATATATAAATGTTGATATTTTGGAAATGGCTGAACTGCATGAGCCCATGTAACACAGCATTTTGATTTAAATGCAGGGCTCCTTCTGATACAGCTTATTAAATAAGTAAAGCAGTCATTCACATAAGCAGTTTGTGAGTTTAAAAATTTTTATGAAAGTAAATAAATCACAACGTGATGAGGTATTTAGCATGTGAAATAGCAGTTTTGTGATTTTTAAATATTCATTGCTTAAGAGCACCTGTAAACACATCTACAGTCCCACCTCACTGTAATAGTTCTCATATCTGTTAGTATACACGATTGTATTAATAGTAAGTTAACACTCTGTTCTTAAGCTTCCAACATTGTCATTGGTACATTCATTTATTTATTTTAAATTTCCTTTTTTCAGTTAGAATTTAAGGCAGTTTAGAAACATTTATGAAATATAATAAATAAATTAAGGTGAGTGAGGAAATCAGGACAGAGCAGATGAGACTCAGATGACAAATGTGTGCCACGAAGCCCTGTACTTCAGTTACAGGGAGGCCACGGAGTGGTTCTTAGTTTTCAGACATTCACACCATCCGGTCATATGACCGCGCTCATGAGATGACCAAACTGCGTTCAGCTGCTCACAGAAAAACCCTCTTCTCCTGATGCCTAGGAGGGAATTCCTTCATGGGTCCTGAAAGGAGACCCCCAGGTGGCCTGGCACCACTGCCCCACCGGCGGCAGGGCACAGGCTGGCCCTCAGAAGAAGCTGATGGCATCGCCCCCGTGGGCAGTTCCAGGGGGAATCAGAATGGTTGGCCCCTCGGCGTGGTGCAGTGTAGGGTGGTTCTGAGAGAAAGGATGTGGTTCTGTGTTTCCTTAAAGGCATCCTCTGTGCTGATTCTTTAAGTCAGTGTTTGGTTAGAATGAGGGGCAGTAAGTTCAGGGTCAGACCCTCTGGAAGATACCTGGAACGTGTTCAGTCTGTGTCCCCATGCACCTGCCTCTGAGGCAAGCCAGCTATACTTCCTGTGGGGTCTGAGTAACCGGGCATCCCTTGGACAGATGGAACCCCTCATGAGATGGGGTCAGGAAGGACCCACAGGCATACCCAGGACCCATTTCCCATAGTTTGCTGCCTGGAAATTACTTGAACAGTCAGGCTTTCAGAGCTCGATGGCACAGATCATGATTGTACAGTTTGGGCCTGAATTTTTTCCCGAAGGTGTAGTTAGATGCTTATCCCTCCCTAAAATAAAACACATGCATTGCAGCAGAACAGATGCTCCCAGTGAAGTTTCCAGGGAACGTTTGCCCTCGAATTGTGTTTTATCTGGCGTGCTCTCCAGACGAACTTGTTACCAAATGTACCTTTCAGGGTTTGAATCAATGCATCACTTCCCAGGTGTGGACATATAAGACCTCTGCTACAAGTAGGAAATACATCATACATATCCAGACCCACAGAGTGAGAAAGCATTCATGTCCTCAGCCTGTGGGGCCCCATGAAGCTTCTTCAAAAAGCAGGCTGCAAATGGTCTCCAGAGCCCAGGGTCCTGGGGCATGATTTTGCTATTTGTACAAGTCCCAGGTTTTACTTGGCAGTGCGGTGAATTGCTGTCAAAAGCAGCAGCAAATAAGTGGTCACAAGTCTTCCCTTACATGGTAGAAAAATTCCAATTCTACCAAGAATTGCATGGGAGCATGTAAGTTCTGGTCTGTGTCCTGTCTGTATTCCCAGACTTCATCTTTACCCCTTTGCAGTTCAGTCTGGTGCATTTTTATTTTTTACATATTGCTAGAAATACATGTATTTCATGAATCATGGTATATAGTTTTTGAATGCTTAAAAACCTGAAAATGTCTAGAGAAGACTGAAGCCAACTCAAGCATCACATGCTAAGTACCCCCCTGTGTGAGATGCTCTGAGTGCTGGCAGGGCCAGCCAAGCTGAAGCCCCGGGTCCGGTGGGCCGGCCACTCTCAGAGGAGACTCTCAGATTAAGTTTTCGCAGGCTCTATAAATATTAACTGAACACCTATGATGTGCTAGGCACCGCTCTTGACATTCAGGATACAGCAGGGAACAGGACACTGTCCTCATCACTTCAGTGGGAGTCCGGGCTCTCCACCCCCAGGGGCCCTGAGCGGCAGTCATCAGGTGCTTCGTGGGGGACTGTCCTTCGAGGTCTAGAGCCTCGTGACCAGGGCAGAGGGCAAATGCACTAGAAGAAGTGGCACGATCGGGTCCCGGTGGCATGAAAGGACGTTCCCAGTCCAGCAGATGGAGGCACGCGCGTGAGGCCTCTCCGCCCATGGTGTCTGACAGGCCCTTTGAGCGTCGGGGGAACAGGAGGCCTCGGCACAGGTTGCGTGGAGGTTTACTGCTCCGGCAAGTGTGCGTGTCCTCTTTTGTGTCCTGGGTCCTTGACCAATGCTTGTTTCTCTTTCATCAGCCTTTTTTACTTCTAAACGTCATTCTAATGCATAGATCACATAGATGTGTGTGAAGTGAGGAGACTGAAAGAGTCCGTCAGGGTGAATCGGGCAGCTGCCTGAAGGGCGGGGCCTTCTGCAGCCCCGCAAGGAGCCGGGGCCATCGGGGTGTCCGAGCTAGGGGACGTCCATCGTGCTGGCCTCCAGTGCACCCTGCTGAGCTGAGGTGGCAGCTGCGACGAGCGGAAGGAAGGTCGCAGACCCGCGGAGAGCCCGTGAAACCTGCCATGTGCCTTACTCCCTCCTGTGTCCCCAAGCACGTGGCGTCCCCTGCCCACTGCGGCTCCTGTCACTCACGCTGTGAGGCTGTCACCGTGGTGGGTTAGGGCCAGCTCGCAGGACTCAGTTGTCAGCACCACTTACCAGCTCCACATTGTCGTGGTGGGAATATTTACACCACGGAAATGGGCAAACTGCACATCAGTTCCTTGTGCCTTTGTTTGCTTTTTGAGACCTGGTTGTTACTTCCTACCTGTCTGACTTCGTATAAGACTGGGACCTCTCAGGATAAAATTATCACATCTTAATTAATCTTTATTTCCTTATCTCTGGCACCAGTACCTCACTCACACATTATAGGTATCAGTAAATAAAATTGAATAAATGGAGGGACACGCTAGCAAATGAGATTAACAAATTAGGTAGTGACTGATTGCTTGTGGATAATGAATGAAATTGTTAGAAATAGCTAAGAATTAGCCAGAACATTTGAGAAGATGGCAATGCCTCTGGGAACCAAAGAGGAGAAATGGAATTTTGGCACAGGTTGCACTTGTGGGAGGCTGGGGGCATTAGTGGAAGATCACTGTTTTGAGGGGCCAGTAGAAGACCAGGGTTGGGGACAGCCAGCATTCGTTCCAGTTACTATCGAATGACAGTTTTGAAATTCCTTTTTCTGTGGCTTTTGAAAATACCCAACTATACAGACTAGTTGAAGTTCAAAGTTATCATTTATTACCAAAAAAAAAAAGAGAGAATTGCTTTTTATTCCACCTATAAGAGAAAATCAAATTTTTGGAATGCATTTGGAACATAGCTTTGGTAGAGAAAAGCAGAGATCAGACAGTCCAGAAGAGAATGAGGAGATGGAAAGTTTTTCTAACAGTGTAAACTTTGTATTTCAAGATGATGGCTTATAATTCTGTTAGTAAGAGAGAATGAATTTAGGGGAAAGGTAAAGTTACCTTTTAGAACATAATTCCTGAAGAAAATTTTTTCTTTTTAAAAATAAGCTATTACAGTTATAGACTGAGGATAAGAAAAAAATGTCTTTTTATAATAAAGACTTGGAGAAGGAAAAGAAGATACTTCTGAGGTCAGCAACATTAATCTGATTTATCTAAAAGGGGTATTCTGATTTATTAAATATTCTTGTTAATAGAATAATTCAGTCTATGGTTGATCCTTAACATAGGTTGAATTATACAGGTTTTTTTCAATAAATATATTGGAAAATCTTTTGGAGATATGTGACAGTTTGTAAAAACATTTTCTTTAGCCATCTTTATTGTATGAATACAGTAGATAATACATTGTAAAAATTCAGTGTTTTGTAACATAAAGTATGTTAATCAATTGTTTATGTTCTCAGTAAGGCTTCTGATCAGCAGT